ACCCCCTCCCCGGCCGGCAGGGGGCGCTGCCCTTCGACGACGACAACCTGCGGCAGCTGCTGGAGAAGGTGAAGCGGGGCGTGTTCCACATGCCGCACTTCATCCCGCCCGACTGCCAGAGCCTGCTGCGCGGCATGATCGAGGTGGACGCGGCGCGGCGCCTCACGGTGCGTGCGGGCGTAGGTGCGGGTAGAGGGTCAGAGGGCGCGGCCTGCGCTTCCAGCCCAGACTCCAGGGCCCCCGGTAGGGGTTCCATCTCCATGCCACCTCCCTGGGAAGGAAGACCTGCGCCTGCGAGTGTGGTACAGGGAGCCCTGGGTGTGCGGATACACGTGCGTGAGTGTCTGCACAGCTGTGTGTGTGTGTGCACGTGCGTAAGCTGCACAGCTCAGTGGGTGCGTGCCCGGCGCTTGGGTATGTGTATGGATGCTTGGGTGTGTGCATGTGCACGTGTGCACGTATAGGTTTGTGTGTGAGTACACGTGCGTGTGTGTGCACAGGCGTGTGTGTGCATGAGAGTGCATGCAGTTGTGTTTGCATGTGTGCGTAGGTGTGAGTGCACGTGCATGAGTGCATTCACAGCTGTGCACATACATGTGTGCACATGCATGTGAGAACTATTAATGTGTGCGTGCCCATGCACAGGTGCAATTGTGTATGCATGTGTGTGCATATGTAGGCGAGTGTATGCACAGGTGTGTGCACAGGTGTGAGCATGTGCCTAGGTGTGAAAGTGTGCACAGATAGGTGGGTATGTGCATGGGGGCCTCCTGCTGGCTGTGTCCTGCAGGTGTGCCTGGGAGGCCAGTGTCCACCAACTCTAGTCCCTGCCCCCCAATTTCCGGGCCAGCCTTGTCAGTGAACAGAGCTCGTCCTGACCCGCTGACTACTGGGGTCTGGGGGTTCTGAGGGAAGTCCCACTTCTGAATGAAGGGCTTAGCTGGTACCAGGATGTTAGGTCTCCAGGGCAAGGGCAGCAGGACCTCCCTGGACTGGCCTTTCCAGGACAGGGGTGGCCCAGTGACCAAGAGGCCACCTTCTCCCAACCTCCCCAACCCAGCTGTCCCCAGGCTGGTGGAGAGGCGCGTGGAGAGTGGGTCTCTGAGCCCCCTGCTCTCCCCTGCACCCCAGCCCCTCCCCGCAGGTGGTCCGCCCCCGGGCTGCCTCTGCTCTCCTCCCTCAGGCCTCCTTCTCTGAGCCACCAGGGCCCCCTGCCTCCTGCCCCTTCCTGCAGCCCCCACCATCACCATCACCCTTCTCTAGACTGGCATTTCCTCTTCCACTGGGGTAGGCAGGGTCAGGGGGCTGGCCTGGGGCCTCTGGGAACGCAGCCCCTCCCCATTTTCCTCCCCCCACTCCCCAT